AAATATACCAAGAACTCGTCTAGGAACTTTGGAACAGGCGTCTGTTCCTGTTCAAGTATCATTTGACGAGCTCTACCCAGTGCTATAATTAAATTTTTCACAGTTCAAATAACTAACGAAAATTAGTAGCCAATTCAATCCTTTCTTCCTAGTATTCACTTCTGAATCTGTGCTGGATGTGGCTGTGGACCTGTGAAAATGTGGGCTGTGAGTCTTCAGTTCAACAACACCCACACCCACTCAACCCACACCCATACCCACCCTCACCCACCCACACCCACACCCACTCAACCCACACCCTCACCCACCCACACCCACACCCACTCAACCCACACCCATACCCACCCTCACCCATCCACACCCACACCCACACCCAGCCTTCCTCATACCCACCCCTAATGCTCTCGTGAAGTCTTTCATAGTTGGAGTGTAGAAGTTGTTTGTACTTTGGCCACATTCAACCACATGTACAATCTGAACATATAAAACAGATGCATATTCGATTGCGTCAACTTATATCGGATTTACTGCAGTGATGGCCACGAATGTAAAATATGGAACTTATAGAACTTTTACTATAAATCCGGTAAGAGATTAGGATTTTTCCTTCGTGTCGGTTTTTTACACTATAAAGCTTATCCAGATACATGTGCTCTCTTTTTGCTCATCTCATATTCTAAGCGTATTTCTCTTTCTAGCTTTACGCTCCGTTATGGACCAAATTTATTCCGAACAGTTCCACTTCATAAGAGATTGCTTCACAAGTGAAACTAATTTTCTCCTATGAACATTTCTTGTCACTGCGATTATTTACTTAAAATAACAGTAGTCCTTAGGCATTATGTTTTTCAGCGGAATGATTTTTTTCATTGTGCTGTCTTCATAAAAAAAACAGTTCTCTTGTGGAACGAGTTTTTTACTTTCAAACTTTATACTTTTACAGAAGATTTCGAACAAGAATGATTGATTCACTATGTTAAAAAACACTCCACTAAACAATGATCTACTGTTTTACAGTTATTTGCAAATTACTTTGAAAAACTCCACTCATCAGACTTATTCAATTCTATACTGTGGTGATATCGTTCGACAGAAGCTACTCATATTATGTATTAAACTGCTCTTGTCTTTGTTAAGTTCACGCGATAATATTGTGTTTCTCTGTAAATACACATAAAAGATTCTGTTCGTGCTTTGTTAGTCAATCAATAGATTCAATCTTTCTCTTATCTTTTCTGCCTTCGATTATTTCACTCATAAACAAGGAGACATTTCAAAGTGCCATCTTACTTATTTGCTCTTATTTTCAGCATGAGTAAAACATTACAATGAATAGCCTGATGTCACCATTAAAAAATAAATAAATAACTTTCTATGATTATTGGCAACGATAAATACATACGAAGGCCACTTGAATAATCACAAAAGCTGAAACTATGAAAATACATCGTTGTAGAAATACAGAGTTTTCAAGGAATTCAATTTGCACTAAGTGATTCATATTCAATGCTGTTCAGAACTTATTACATGAATATTCTGCACTTTTTCATAACAATAGAATTCACAATCAAGAAATGTTGATCTATTAATTTCGGTTATTTTTGAAAGAAAAAAAAAATTTTTTTGTTCATTTGTTGAACAATCAATGATTCTTCGGCAATAATCTTTTTATATTGGCTGGCATGTTTATTAAATATTAAATCAAACAAAATAAACCCTTTGAAATGTTCCGATAG